AAAAAAAATTGAAAACAATAAAAATTTTGAAATTTATGTGCAATGCTGGTTTTTAATCATGGTGATATTAAAAGAGAAAGAGATAAGTATTTTTCGGAATAAAATATACCAGTTTGTGCACAATTAAATGGCGAATCTTTCGATAAAAAAAATAAAGCGTAAGTGATAAAATAACAACTGAAAGATTAACAAAATACTCAGATCGCCATTTATTCTGGGCCATCCGTCAAATCAGGACCTGGAAATCCAAATGTGAAGTCAGATTTTAAAAATTTTGAATTGGATTTTTTGAGAAAGTAACGATATCTTATGAAGGTCGACGAAAGCAAATCAGAGTTGAGGAATTTGAATCTGCAATCAGATTTTCGAAATTTCAAGTTCGATTTTTTCACATGGTTTTCTTAAAAAACTGATTTTTAAAAATAAAGATTTTTTTCTTTGAAAAATAATTTTTTAAGAAAAAGCAAGATGTTTGTATAATAAAGAAATTTGTGAAAAAAATTAACTCGAAGTCCTGAAAAACCAATTACAAATTCGAATTCTGGGTCCCGACTTCCTCTCGTCCACCTTTATAAAATATCGTTATTTTCTCGAAAAATCCTTTCCTCTAACAAAAAATCCAGTTGAAAATTTTCAAAGTCTGATTGCAGATTCGAATTATTCAGCCTCGATTTACCTTTGATAGAAATTCCCTAGTCAAATCTATATGCTAGTGAAACTGTGTAAGATTGAAGGAGACATTTGGATTGAGCCTAAGCTTAGTGTCGATTGGATCCCAGAAACAAGTGAACCGTGAAATCGCGATCTGTTACTGGGTCCAATGCATAACTAATCCACACCCACACCTGGTTTTTTGAACTTCTATTATTTATCGTAATAAGAAGAGTTCAATGGATTGAAATCATGAAAATTTCCTGAGAAGTCAACCAGTTTCTATTGTTTTGAATAGTGACAAACATGTGAAATATCATCGTCTATATGATCTATGCTAATTCTCAAATTTCTAGATCGATTGATGTCATAGTCATAACAAATTTATTCTTTAAAAATAGATCAATAGAATTAGTCTATAGTTGAGATAGATAGCAATTCAAGTTGAGGGTTCTTCAAAAAAAAAAAGTTATTGTTATTAATAACAATAGCAATAACAATAAATTCACACTCCTACTTGAGCATAACCAGTCACTAAGTGGATTGACTATTGTTTGTCTGTCTTGAATGTTGCTTTCTGAAATTCGAAAACTATAGACGCTTTTTTATTGAAATGATGCGATTATCTTTGTAGTAATCAATCAAAGAGGTATTATTAATCGATAAATGAACATGTAGTCTTAGTGTAGTCTCGTATGTGCCTACATTTTTGTCATAAACTTTATTACTCTTACTCAAAATCTATCATCCAGATTGTTATTGGTGTGGATTTGTGATATAAGTTCCATAAGCGATATCGTGAATCTTTCGACAACGACAAAAAAAATCATTTTGTTCTCTCCTCATCTATATTTAAGTAGAATGTATATTTTGTATAGCTTGAGCAAGTAATAAACAATACCAAATGTCCCAGAAAATCGCATCAATATTGAACAATTCACATCATGCATATTTATCATTATGATTAGCTAATTAGTCAATCATAAATCTCTTCATAAATCTGAGCCTGCTATAGCGATATAGTTATCGACTAGATTGCTCAAACAGAGACTTGTATTAGTTAATTAATGTTCAGATAGAAGCTATACCATACGACCTTGAACTTTCCATTTATAAATACTAATATCACTAATACAGATACAGAAAAATTGATTAATGTAGTGCGGATGTTTCGCCTTGAATAGTGACTTGAAATCGAGGTAAATTATTTAGACATTTGAATAGAAACAAACTAAAACATTATTCACAAACGGATAGTTCAATCTAGAAATTATATGATGTATAATCATTTCCTATCTATTTTGAATTTCGAATATGTCAAGACTAAATTTTTATTAAATATCAATTTGAACTTCTTTAAATTAATTGTTTTCTTATATCATACTTTACATTCATCTTTAGATGTCTTTAAAGTATCCGTAATGCTCATAATCAAAAGGAAAAGATAATAAGAAGACGAAAATCGAACTGTAAACAACGACACAGCAACATTGAGTCTTGTATTGTTTCTGGTTTAATGATATTTTCTCGATGATTATAGCTTATGCCATCCAATTTTGTACTTGCAACACAAATCATTAATGGAAAGGAATCAATCATATAATATTCAACAAAAAAACATATATATTTATAAGGTGCTGAAAATGCAAAATTAAAGCAGAATTTTTTTCTCTAGTTTCATATTTAGTTAGATACAGTGTGACGAGTTGATCGAGAATATAGATGTTTTCATATTTTTGGAATGAGTTGTTAGGGAAAAAATTTCAGTTTATTTCACTGACTTACTTTTTATGAAAAATAGTTCAATTTTTTTTGTTTGTTTCCAATTTCAGAAGTGTTTGTTTCTGATTTACCATGACAAAGTGAATCTAAGAAAGCATTTACGAGGCTATTTAGATATAATATGATCATAATTCAGGTAAGACGAGAGTGAAAGAATCGAAGTTTCGGACAAACATCTTATAATAGTATCCAATTTTTTTTTACAAAGAGATACAACTGACTTTCATATCTCATGAGAATTTTTAGAGGTTATACTAGGTTGACAATAATATTTTGTCAGGTAGAATATCACTATAATTCCACATAAAGTAAACCATGAATTTTATATCAAATAAAAGCCCGTCACAAATGGGATTTATTGATATTAAACAATAAGGGTTATGGTAACTTTTGTATGTTGAAACTCTCGAAGTTTAAAGAAAATTGCATAGTGCAATCATTATAATTCATTTTTATCGAGTTGTAAGACAAAGAGAAAAGAAAATTTTCTTTGGTAAAACTGAAAAGAGCATTGCTCTAGTAACCATAAGACGTAACTATGATTCAGAAGGTACGATTGTTCTTTTGTGTTCTGTTATCTATTTCTCATGGTGGCTGTGAATAAAAAAGTTTTTTTTATTTTTCTTCTCTTAGAAAGTTATAGAACTGGAAAGTTCAAGAAGTTTATAAAACAATATATAAGGTCATTTTGTGATCAATATCTTTCATAAAAACAAGTCTATCCTTTCGGCGAATCAATTAAATCTACTTAGATCAGTCCAAAGGTAGTGAGAGTGACGCTTTAATGTCTTATAATAAGCTGAAGGAGAGTTTCTTTTCGTATGAAACGATCGAGAAAAAAACGCTGTCTTTCTATGTCATTTGATCATACTTTAGTTAATATTATGATAGAAAAATGTTCATAAGATTCGTTTTGGTATTATGTGTTTTGGTTGCGACACTAGATATAGTCATCGATATGGGCTCGCTTCTTAATTTTTTCTTTGCTCTGCTTCTTTCTTTCTTTTTTTTCTATGCTCATGCATTGTTATGCATTCGGATAGACATCAGATGGTGATCACAAATAAGAGACACAGAAGAATTTTCATCAAGGTTTTATTTCATTAAATGCTCAAAGTAATCTCCTTCATTATTCTCACAGAGTTTCATCCATTCGATGCATTTATCAATTATTTTTTATACTCTTTTTTATCTGAGGAATACATGAAATCCATTACAGCATAGTGTAACGAGTCGGAATCGCTTTGATCACCTATATTTTTTTTGATCAAGTCGAATAACCAGAAGTCATAAGGTCCTAGATTGGGAGAATTGGGCGAATGTGGTACTATTGTGAACTTTTCTGATTGCAGATAACCTGACACGGCTCTATGTCTATGCGGTCTAGCATTGTCATAGTGAATTTTCATAGCATGTGTTCTAGATGAAGGCCTTTGGCTCTTAATTTCGTAGATGAGG